GAGAGGACTGAGAAGGGAGGGAGGAGGGAAGAGAGAGAGGGGGGGGGCAGGGAGGGAGGGTGGAGGCAAGGAAGGGTTGGAGTACGTGGGAGAGGGGGGGCGGAGGAGGAGGAGGAGGACGAGGAGGAGGAGGAGGAGGAGGAGGAGGAGGAGAAGGAGGAGAGAGCAGGAGCAAGAGCAGGAGCAGGAGCAGGAGCAGGAGCAGGAGCAGGAGGCTTCGAACGCTCCAGCCATGACGCTTCAGCCTGCCTGACGTAAAAAAAGCAGGAAGAGGAGGAGGACGACGACGACGAGACGAGACAACAAGTACAGGCTGCGAGCAAGACCGCGGCTGCCCCTCTGCTGATGGGGAGGCGGAGAGGGAGGAGGGAGAAAGCAAAGGAGGAGAATGAGTCCGTCTGTTCCTCAACCGCACCATTCTCAGCTACAGCACCGCTCAACGATGTGTTGCTAACCGAGCCTGCAAGGTGTGCCGCCTTCTTTTCTGTGCACTTCAGCTGCGGCGTCGGCGTCAGCTGCGGTTGCACTTCGCAGCGCGTCAGGGCAAACTCAACCGAGTCGGTGTTCCGCTCGCACGGGTGCCTCCCTCACTCGAGGGGAGCTCCCCGCTTTCCCACCCTTCTGCCTCGACAGGCACCAGGTTTGCCTTCGACCCGTATGCGGATGTTCTGGCTCCCAGCACCGAGTGCACTCGCGAGCGCGTGTCAGGGCCATGCGCCCACGATAGCCGTGAAATGGGCAGAACGTCCGATGCGAATGCGCGTCGTCGTAGGAAGGAGCGAGCGGGGGGAGAGGGGGACGGAGAAGGACGCGGGAGAAGAACAATGACGAGGGGAGGAAAGGGGAGAGGGGGAGAAGGGAGGACGAGGGAGGAGGAAGGAGGACGAGGGAAGCGGAAGAGGAGGCGGACCATGACGAAGAAGAAGAGGCTCCTTCATCCTCTCCTCGCCCGGGCTCTGCAGCCACATCTTCAGCAGGTACTCGTAGTACGAGTCGGCCAGTGCGCCGAGGGCAAACTTTGAGGAGATGATCTTGACCTGCCCTCCTCCTTCTCCTCGGCCGAGGATGGAGGAGACAGGAGGGCGGAGGTGGAGGAGCAAGAGCACGAAAAGGAAGGAGGAGGACAGCTCCACCGCCTCGTCCTCTCCTCCCCTCCTGGTCTAGCTACGCACTAGCGTGCGGGATCGCAACGCATGCACCGGGGTGAGTAGTGGAGACAAGAAACGCAAGGACATGAACTTGAAGCGTCAGACGGTGACCGCTTGGATTGCCTCTGGCCTGCCTAGTTCGGAGCCAGCCGCATCTGCATCGACCGCCTCCAAGAGGCTCTCCAGATGCCTCCCAAGATCCCCACTGGCATCCAAGAGGCCTCTTACCTATCATCTCAACACGGCGGCGGAATGCGCCAAAGACCACTAGACATACACACAAGTATACGTCTATGGTATATGCGTTCCTCGATCGAATTGCAACTCTGAGTCTGACTCTCCCCCCTCTCTGTCCCTCTCTGCGGAGCCCAACACTCGCTTATCCCCAACTCCGACCAGTTGGCTATTTCTTGGAATGTGGACGGAGTGGCCTGGAGGAGAACGCGTCCTGAGCCCCAAAGCTTCCCGAGGGACCTGCTTTCCTCCCTGAGCCCTGCTTGCACAGGCACGGGCCCGAGAGGGACCCTGAACACCCCGAGAACGGCGACAATCATTCCCGAAGGGCGCCGTTTCTCCATGGAAAGGCGGTGCCGTGCACGCGTCTGCCCATCCACCGCGACTCGCGACGCTGACGAAGGCGCCGCTTGCTTACCAACCGTTCCCTTCGCCCCTCACCGCGCTTGCCTCCACGACTGCCCCGCGCGCGACCGGCGTGTGCTGCGGCGGCGTCAAGTATACGGGCAGGAGGCCGGTCATGCCTGGGCGCGGTGACGCGGGCAGTTCCCGCTCGCTACTCGCGCGCTCCTGGACCCTGGTACGCAGCACCGCCTTCGAGCTAGCAAGCGACCCGTCCACCCCTCGTCGCCCACCTTCGCTGAGGGCTTAACAGCTTCTGCCGTCCCTCGACTCGAGCTGGAGCGGCTGCGCTTGGATTTCTCTAGACTACCTGGGCTTACCTGGATCCACCTCTACTTGTGTGCATGTACCTTGACTGATCCGGCTCTACCCCACAAGTCGATTGGCGAAAAGTCGGTAGGCCCTTAGGGACACCTCCTCCTGCTCATGCTCCACCTCTCTCTCCTCCTCTGGACCTCTTGTCATCGCCATCTCTTGCCGATGTCCCCCTTCCTCACCTTCCTTCCCATCAACCCTCCTGAGGAGGAGGAGGGCCTTCTCCTCCTCCCCCCGTCCCGTGGTCCTGCAACCGATTGTGTGTGTGTCATAATATCACACTCATGCAGCGAGCGAGCCGACACGATTAACTAGATTTGCCCGTAAGCACCGCCAACGCGGGATCGAAAGAAACACGTTCAAGGTGCACGATCGGCGCGTTCGAATTGACAGCCAAAATTCACAAAGCGATGCACTGAAGTCCATAGCTTCGAAAACGCTGATGGTCACATGCGTATGGCACGACGGAGGGATCGCGAAGCCCAACCTGACAGAAATACCATGCCGTGATCAACCCCCAATCTCGATGCCCACACCGGAAGCCTCGCACCCTTCAGAGTGACGAGCAGGCAGCACGTCCTCAAAAAAAACCGGCCACGCGGTCTGGCGGCATGCTGCGGCTGCCGCGGCCCTCGCTCCCCATGATGCGACGAGAAATAATCGGCTACACGCAAGAGCGACCCTGGGTAAGAGTGACCTTTGGTGCGCGGCTGTTTGGGGGCCGCGGGGGGACCAAACCGGGGCGCGCAAGCCGCTGCTACCGCTTCGTTTTCAGCCATCTGGGGACCCATCTGTGCCCGCACCAAAGGTCACTCCGGCGAAAGGTCACTCTTACGTCTAGTCGGACAAGCTGCTTGAACACACACTGTCAGAGGGCGGCCGCGCGGATCTCCGGGATGGGCCCTGGACCCCCCTCCCTGGCGCGCGGAGCGCGCCGGGCACGGCGCCGGAGGCGCCTCCACGGGGGGTCAGCGCCGATCCCCAAAAACACGCGCTTAAGTTAGACGGTGATGTTGCATCTTCTAAGCATGCGCACATGTACTCGTGCCAGCGTCTTCTTAACGAATCAGCTTCGCGGTAGTCCTCCCCTTGCTTGAGCTCTTCTTCCTGTCCCGATTGTCCTTACCCGTATATGTTTGTCCACTGCTGCCCGAAGCAACAGAAAAGGGGCCAAGGGATTTGCCAGGGGGCGCAGAAGGACTCAGCCCCCCCACCTGCGGCTCGGAACGGCCGCGTCGAGACGCTGACAACCGTCACTGGGCGGAGCTAGGCCCCCGCCGCCCCTGGCGCGGCGTCGAGCCGCTCTGGCTCCGCACCCTCCCTCCCTTGGAGCCGCCCACACGGAGGCCGCCCGAGTGGGGTCGAAGCAGATGGGCTCCGAGGACCGCGCGGCATCGCCGATGCGTCGGCGACGTCGAGGAAGCATCTGCGGCATCGGCGTGGAGAAAGCTGCACTCCACATCGAGCCGCACCTTCGAGGCATCGGCGCTGTCGGACCCCACATCGAGCCACATCGCCGAGGCATCGGCGACGTCGGCGCGACCCATCGACCCCCATCTTGAAGGGGCCCTGGGACACACAAAAAATACACGCAAATAAAAGGATTCCCCATCTTTTCCCATATTTGCTGGGTTGTCTTCCCCACCACTTCCCATACTTTCCCATATTTTCCTGAGTCGACGATTAATTGTGTCTGTGTGTTTCTTTCCCTCCTGTCATCTGCACTTCGACCCCATCTGGGCGACCTGGACCTAGGGGGGAATCTAAGACCACGCCCGTGGTGCGAAGCGGACCTGGCGCGCCCGCCGCGAACCGGGACCAGCCGCCCGCGCCATCGGCAAGCACCGCGCCCCCGAGCGACGGGTTCGTCCTCGCCCCACTACCCTCAGCCTCGCTGTCCTCCTCCTTCACATCCTCGTCCGCATCCCCCTGCAACTCCTGCCCACTCCTCGGCGAAGGCGACTGCGGCGGGGTCGGGGCGGGGGCAAACAGCAGCCTCCTGACTGGATGGCCTGGAACGCGGCGTCGCCTCCCGCCGGGGCTCGCTCTGAGCGTAACGCGCGGACGAAGGCCCCCCACCCCTTGCCCATCATCCGTTCCCCCTCCCATGTCTCATCTTCCTCTTCCAACCCCTCCTCCTGCTCCTACTCCTCCTCCTCCTCATCCTGCTCCTCCTCCTCCTCCTCCTCCTCCTCCTCCTTCTCCTCCTTCTCCTCCTCCTCCTCCGCCTCCTTCCCCTCCGCCTCCTCCTCCTCCTCCTCCTCCTCCTCCTCCTCCTCCTCCTCCTCCTCCCCGTCATCCCCCTTCTCCTTCACGTCATCAGCATCAGCATCATCAGCATCATCATCATCATCATCATCATCATCATCATCATCATCATCATCATCATCACCATCACCATCACCATCAACATCAACATCATCATCACCATCATCATCATCATCATCATCATCATCATCATCATCATCATCATCATCGTCATCATCATCATCATCATCATCATCATCATCATCATCATCATCATCATCGTCATCATCATCATCAGTCATCATCATCATCAACAACATTCGTCATCGTCATCTTGAGCATGTTCTTTTCATCATCATCATCATCGTCATCATACGCATCCACATCATCACCATCATCACCAGCATCATCATCATCAGCAGCATCATCACCATCACCATCACCATCACCATTACCATCACCATCATCATCATCATCATGATCATCGTGATCATCATGATCATCATGATCATCATCATCATCATCATCATCATCATCATTATCATCATCATCATCATCATCATCATCATCATCATCATCATCATCATCATCATCATCATCATCATCATCATCATCATCATCATCATCATCATCATCATCATCATCGGGCGAGTTGTTAATCTTCGCACCCAGGGGGCACATATTGCAAGGATGTCGCGGGCGGTCTGTCGGTTTGCGTGGCCCAATTCGACTCTTTCATCATCGCCTCGAGCTCGTGGTATCCCGTGCTTGCCAGGCGCTCGCATTGGCCCCGCAGGGCCAAGCCCTGCTTGTAGACTGCGCCCGCCTGGTCCTGCGCCTCGTGCGCTGGCTGGTCGTGGGCCTTGCCGTTCGCGACGCTCAAGACGAGTTTGGCCTCGCAGAACTCGTGGCAACATGTGATCTTCACCATCGGCTTGAGCTCTCCCATTTGCAGAACGCTGACCCGCTTCTGCAGCTGCTGCCTGTTGATCCCAGGGCTGCGTCTTGTACGTGCGCATCTCAGCCACTCCTTCCACTAGGGCGCCCCCGAAGATCCCCGCGCGGTACGCCACTGAGTTGGGGCCCATCCCTGTAATCCCCTTGCTGGCCTCCGCCAAGGGGAAGCCTGCGAAGTGCACACGAGTTGTCTGGATCTCCACCGTCATGCCGGCGAGCTCCGAGGTGCCCACGATCTCCGGGTTTCTCTGCTTCGCAAGGTCCACTTGGAGTGTAAATAGGTCGGCAAAATCGGCTGCGCACTCCGACTCGGGGAACGTAACCTGGTGCGGAAGAGCGACGAAAAAATTGAGCGCCGACTTCTGGGCGATGCATCTTCCCTGTCGGCACGCTGCTGCGATGCGGCCCCTCCCCCTTCCCCTTCGGGGAGGGGTTTACCCCTCCCCCTACCCCCTCCCCACTGACCTGGACAGGAGGGGCGGGGAGCGGTCAGAGCGTCCAAAATGGCCCAGGACGGCCCCAAGAGAGAGCCCAAGATCGCCTCCAAGATGGCTCAAGATAGCGCAAGATGCCTGAAGATGGTTCAGAAGACGCTCCAACACGTTCCAAGACCGCTCCAAGATGGTTCCAAGTGCCCACAAGAGCATCATTAGAGTGCCCTCAAAAGGCCGAAATGCTTCAAAACCCTAGGAAAGATCAATGTGTTTGGTGTTGTCACTTTTTCGCTTCCGAAACCCATCCGAGGCCTCAAGATGGCGCCAAGATGTCCCAACTGGGCCCCAACAGGGGCCCAAGAGAGCCTCAATACTGCCTCAACAGCGTCCAAGAGCGCTCCAAGAGCGATCCAAGCGGGGTCCAGGAAGCGGATTTGGACAGTCTGGAGGGGCAACGCTAATTAAAGCCCAGCTCTTCTTTGATAGATGTGCTCCAAGATGCCCCCCCAGAGCGCCCCGATGGCGTCTAAAAGGACCCCAAGAGCCCACCAAACCGTTCGAAGATACCTCCAAGACGCCACCAGGGAGGAGGAAGAGGCGGAGGAAGAGGAGGAGGAGGAGGAGGAGAGGGAGGAGGAGAGGAGGAGGAGGAGGAAGAAGGCGGAGGAGAAGGAGGAAGAGGGGGAGAAGAACAGCTGCCGATCATCGGCGCTCTTCGTTCGAGTGCCTGGTGTAGGATGGGCTGGTGGGGATACGCGAAGCGTCAAAAATTGAGCGCCGACTTCTGGGCGATGCATCTTCCCTGTCGGCACGCTGCTGCGATGCGATTGATGGCCGTGCGCCTGGACGCACATGTTGAGGCACACGTCGGACACTTGTTTGTGACAGTACATTCGGGGAACATGTGCTGCTGTCCGTGTTCGCCTCTTCTTCTCCGCGTTTGATGTGTTCGAAGTGCGCGCGCCGCGCGGAACCTGGTTTTCACGCGCCAAGCCGTCCTCGTTTAGTAGGAAGCATAGATACTCACACGCGAAGCACTCCTGGTCCTCGTACAGCCTGATGGGGGTCTCCGTCGGGGACTCTGGTCGTTGTTCACGAGGCTTCTCCATGTGTAACTTCACGAACTTGGGGCGCAGCTCTGGCACCTGGAACACCCTCAGGAAGTCGCAACTTACGTCGCTCAAAAACTCCACCCCGTCCTGGAGCCTGCCCAAATAGAGCAAATCGTTCTTGAACTGCAGGGTTCAGGGGTTCGCGCTGTCCCTCGGGGTGACCTCTGGAGCATGCTCAGGAGCCCAAGAGATCTCGCGGCGTCGCGCTCTCGAAAGCGATACCCGATCTCCCCAAAGACAGCGGCCAGTTCCTGAGCGCGACGACGGGGGCGGCGAGCGAGAGCTCGATAATGTCGAAGCCGACGCACCACCAGCTCAAAGCTGGGGTGGACGACCTTATCTTTCTGCCACGCGGCTTCCGCGCAGATGGTCGTGACCTCCCACCATTCTTCCACTCCGCTACCATTCAGCTGCGACCCCCTGGCACGACGCAGCAGCATACCTGACCGCGACCGAATCGAGCTTCCCCCCCCCCGGTCCTCCGAGAGGACCCTCGCCTCATGGCCCGAGACCGCTGCCCCGATCACCATGCTCATGAAGACAAGGCGTTTGCGCCCGAAGGTGCGCTCTTTCCAGAACTTGCCCACCCCACGCCAGCCCGCCCGAATGGCCGAGCACCTCGCCTCAATCTCCTCGTCGCTTCGCCCTGAAGTCTGGGTTCTGACCCACATTCAGACCGAGGTGGCTTGCACTTCTCCAGCGATGGGACCCTATGGTAGCGGGGCGCCCCAGTGGATCTCTGCGAACCTCTTCCCGCGAAACAAGGATTCACATTTTTTCGGTTGCGCGACTCTGCGCCAGTCCGACGCGGCTGAGGGCTTCGTCCAAGTAGCGATCCGAGGCCTCGACCTTCGCAGCCGCGCTGCGCGCGTCTGGGACCACGCGCGCGCAGGCCAGGTCGCCTGCATGCTTCCCAACACCAAGATCACACGAGTTGTTTCTTGTGGCGGGGCATCCTGCTGTCAGCGCGCGCACGTCATTCGAAAGGAAAAAAGGGAACGCCGCCACTCCTGCGTGAGCTGCTCAAACGCGACCCTGAATTTGGCGGCCGCGTCGGAACCGCCCACGAAGCACCCCGCGGCGTTGACAAAGATGCCGCACCCGTCGCGCGCGTTCACAACAAATGTTGCGCAGCGAGCTCTGGTGAGCATGATCTGCACGTCCTCTGGCTGATACATTTGGCACACCGTCTTGTCGAAGTGATCGCGGCTGACGCTGGCAAAGCCGTTCGTGGCGTCGTGCTTGGAAGTGGCATGGCCGACCTTCGCTGCGCAGTGGCGCCACTGCAGCGCGTTGCCCACCGCAAGCGCCCCCACCCTGGATCGCCTCTTCACGTCGCCGTGGCCCTCATGTGGCACGTCGAAATCGTCGCGCATGGGGTCGAGAACCGACCCGCGCCCTGCCGCTACAGAGTCCACGAAGAATACGTGCCCCTCGTGTGCGCGATTTCTGCTTCATCCTGCTGACCTGACACGTCCGCGATAAATTCCACCACTCGCTGGGTCGATTGCGTTGTCTCGCCCCTGCCAACTGCGCCAGTAGAAACTCCGGCAGTACAGGGCCCATGATGGGCGTTGGATCTCCTTGATCAATACGCGGGGCTCTGCAAGACAGCAGCAAACACCATATCTCCGCCGGCATGGGCCAGCGTGGAGAAGCACGGCGGCGGTGGCCATTCGAAAACTTCTCGACCAGCTTGCCGAAGTCAAAGATGGCCACCCCCCAGCGCACATTCGCAGGGTAAAACGGGTAGTCCTGCTCCGCGGCCTTCGCGATGAACTGTGCCTGCTCGACCTGCTCCTCTGCGAGACTACCCTCCCCCCCCTCGGGTGCCAGGTCCTCAGCCCATACTTGAAGATCTGGTTGTGAGTCGGGAAGCACGTCTAGGTTTCGCCTGCGGGGTACTACCCCATTGCCTGCCATCTTGATTGTCACGTGCTGCAGTACGTGCGCGAAGTGTTGCCCCCCTCTCCCGTACCACCCGCACGTGCCAGTCTGGCCGATCTTTACGACTGGCCGCGCATCGTGTTTGAGCACTTTGTGTGAGATAGTATTGACCATATCCGCACATGAAAACTCGAGCGTGTGATCCCGCATCCAGGCCGTGACCTCCATGTGTCGTGCTTCACGCAAGCGCCGCTCCAACGCCAGCTCGACTTCTTTCCTGAACAGTTCTGCCTCCTCATCCTTCAGTGCTTCACAACAGGAGAAGAAGTCCCATTTTGTCACGTCCACCCTGGGGGATCTGGAAGGTGAGCTTGTAGTTTGTAGTCTATCTTCGCCACGATTATCATGTGGTCAAGCATCGCGATGGACGGGGTAGCGCGTACTCTGCGAGTGAGGATGTAGGCTATCGCACACCGCTGCTCCCGCTGCAACCACGGGACCATAATCGCTAGGTGGTCGATGTAGCTGGGGCTATTGTGTCCATGGAAGGTGGGGCCGCAGTGATACCGCCTCGTGATCGTAGTCAGGCCCGTGTCCTCCAGCCACTCTCGATAGGTCGTGCCCGCCACGTGGTCGAATGTCCTCGAATAGGGCCCCAGGCTCACCTGATCCACCTCCTGCACGAGGCTCTCGCTCGACCGTACGCCCATTCCGTCGTTGAGGTCAGGCGATGACTGTGCTCCTGTTCGGGGTCCCGTCCATGTGCTGATGATGATGATGACGATGACGATGATGACGATGATGATGATGATGATGATGATGATGATGATGATGATGATGATGATGATGATGATGATGCGGATGATGATGATGATGATGATGATGATGATGATGATGATGATGATGATGATGGTGATGATGATGGTGATGATGATGATGGTGATGATGATTGCGATGATGATGATGACGATGATGATGATGACGATGATGATGATGACGACAATGATGATGATGATGATGATGATGCTGATGATGATGATGATGATGATGATGACGACGACGGAGCAGAGTTTGAGTATGTCTCAGGCGAGGCGCTGGTTCTCGCACACAAAAGGAGGGGGGAGCGCCAGGGGGTATCTCACTCCTCCGTTCGCGCCCAGATTGCAGGGATATCTCGAGCGGTTCGCCTGTTTCGCATCCTCATCATCCTCCGCTGTCGGAGCAGACTTTGAGGATGTCTTAAGCGAGGCGCTGGTTTTCGCACCCCTGGGGGGCCCAGATTGCGAGGATACCTCGAGCGGTTTGCTTGTTTTGCTGGCCAGACTCGTGGTCAGAGATCCCCCCCAGGACGTCACAGGAGGCCCCAGGCAGCCACAGGAAGCCCCAGGAGGCCACACGAGGCCACAGGAAGGCTCAAGAGGCCCCAGGATACCCCAAGAGGCTCCAGGATGCCTCAGGAAGCCCCAGGAAGCCCCAGGAGGCCCCAGGAGGCTCCAGAATGCTCCAGGAGGCCACAGGAGGCCGCAGGAAGCCCCACGAGGCCACAGGAGGCCCCAGAAGGCCCCAAGAGGCCTCCAGGAGTTCTCAGGAAGCACCACAGGCCGGAGGCCACAGAGGGCCACAGGAAACGCCAGGGGGCACCAGGAGGCCTCGGAAGGCCCCAGGAGGCCCCAAGAGGCCCCAGGAGCAGGAGGCCTCAGAAGGCCACGGGAATGGTTCCAATCCCCGGTGTTTCACACATGTTTCTATCGATTGAGCCTTCCCTGGAGCACGAATCATTCGTGTTCCACATATGTTTATATCTCCTGGGTATCCAATCCCATGTGTTTTGTATCTGTTCCTATAGATTAGGCCTCCCCTGGGGCACGAATCCATGTTTTGCATATGTTTTTATAGATTACCCATTTCCTGTGGTTTTGTATATGTTCCTACAGATTGGGCCGCCCCTGGGGCACGAATACTCCCCGGGAGGCGCCAAGAGGCTCCAGGAGGCCTCAGAAGCAACAGGAGGCCACACGAGGCCCCAGGAGGCCTTAGGAGGCTGCAGGAAGCCCCAAAAGGCCCCAGGATGCCCCAAGAGGCTTCAGGAGGCCCCAGGAAGCCCCAGGAGGTTTCAGGAGGCCCCAGGAAGCCCCAGGCTCATGTGCAGAAACGCACTCGTACAACTGAGACTCATTCACACTCCAACTCATTCACAATTAGATCCAATCCAAAACCGTCAATACTCAAGCCCGTTTGCATTAGAAAACTCTTGCGCCTAGACACTCACGGCGGACAGGTCCATGCTCATAGATGCAAATGAGGAGCTCAGCGTAGTGAATACTTGTTTGGGCGAGCCTACCTCCGCGGCCCCATCGTAAGCGCGATTTCGACCGGATATCGTCCAGACGTCGACCTCCCCTCTTCACCCTTCCGTCCAGATTTCGTCCAGGTGTCGTCCACATCCGCCGACCCTGTCGGCGTGTGTGAGGGGCTTCCCCGTTCGAGTCGGGCTTCTCCGTTCGAGTCGTCGTCTCCATCGTCCTCCGTTCCATTCATCTGGGCCCTCCTCCTCAAGCACACCATCCAAAATGAAATAGAGCAACGTCGGAGTGGAGTCGAAGGGAAGCCCCTTCCCTTTGAACCCTTCCCCGCGGGGGGTCCCCAGGGGGTCCCCGGAGGGTCCCAGGGGGGGTTCGCCACCCAGATACGCTTCCCCCCCCCGCGTGGTCCGGGAAGCCCGAAGAAGTCCCCAAGAGTTCTCCACGAGACCCCCAAGAGGACGCCGGCGCCCCAAGAGTCTCCAACAGGGTGCCCTGACGGGGGAACCGTACGGCCATTGCGAGCCCTCGGCCCCGAAAGGATCCCAGGAGGCCCCAAGAGGACCTAAACGGCCCGCAGAAGCCCCAAGAGGCTTCCAAGAGGCTGCCAAGAGGCACCCAAGAAGCTCCCAAGAGGCCCCAAAACTGCCCCCCAGAGGCCTCCGAGAGCGCTCCGAAGAGACCCCAAACAGCATCCCTGAGGACTCTGACCCACGTCAGCGTCGTCGTCGCCGCCGCCGCCGCCGCCATCGTCGTTGTCGTCGTCGTCGTCGCCGTCGTCGTCGTCGTCGTCGTCGTCATCGTCGTCGTTGTCCCCCTTCCAGGTCGACGGCACTGGCCGTAAGGCCTTCGTAATCCCACGAAATCTGGACGGAGTCAATAAAAACTCAACGAAAGTGGGAACCTCCTGAGGTTCCCGTGACGGGCCACACAATATCGTCTCTGCCGCGCGCCAATGCAGCGATGTGTTATCGCCCCGGGCGACAGAAGGCGCTTGTATGTGAAATGCGCGAGCTTTCATGATCATAGCTGAGGCACCGCCTACGTATGTCACTAGTCGGCGATCACATCCTCATCCAGGCTCTTGCCCGTCGTTTCCGGCACTAGCAACAACACAAATACGGCTCCAACCACACCCCAGCAGCCATAGAAAATAAAGGCGCCTCCCATTGAAAGTACAGCCGACAATGACAGGAATGTCAGTGCGACGATCGCTGCCATCACTCGTGCAGTGCCCATCGTCAAAGTAAGGCCTTTGGCGCGACAGGCGGTTGGGTACAACTCGGCGCCAATTGTGTACACCAGCGGGCCATAGCCGAGAGAGAAAAGAACGGCAAAGAAAGTAATGGGAAGCACCTTGAAATATACCCCCAAAGAAAATTCGAATGACAGCCCAAGTGTAATCATGCATGATGCCATACCTAAACTGGAAATTATCAACAAGGGGCGTCTCCCCGTTATATCAACGATGCAGCCTTGCACCATGATGGCCGCAAGCTTGAAGCACCCCATGATCAACGTGGCGAGCAACATCATGTCTCGATCGAGGCCACCCTCCTTCAAGATGACGTTGCTGTAGAACATGATGCTCTCTATGCCAGTCGCCTGCGAGAAAAATGCGATGCCAGCGCCGATGAGCGCGAGCCACCGAGTCTGAGGCGTCGTGAACATTTCGTACCAGGTCATCTCTGACTCGTTGTCGATGCCGCGCAGGGGCGCCTCGGTGGAAGCAGAGGGAGGAAGGAGGAGGGGCAGAAAGCCCATGAGGAGGAGGGGCAAAAAGAAAGCGCACCAGGAGAAGCAGGGAGGAGAGAACAGAAAGGGAAGCGCAGGGAGGACGAGGAGGCAAGAAGGCAGCGAAGGAAAAGAAGAGGGACATGAGTGAGGCGAGGAGGACGAGGAGGACGAGGAGGAGAACGAGGAGGAGGACGAGGACGAGGAAGACGGGGAGAGCGAGGAGGACCTCTCCTCACCCTCTCGTGCCCGTCCGCATCCTCCTTGCGAAGGGACGGCCTTCATGAGCTTGACGCAGTGCGACGCCTCCGCCGGCCCCAGCACCGTCCCCAGCACGGCCTCCGCCTCCCGCACCCGGCCCTGCGAGGCCAGCCACCGCGGCGACTCCTGCGAGCACCAGAGAGAGCTACGTATGTACGAAGGCGGCGGACGAAGACGACAGCGGAGACGACGGCGACGAAAACGACCACGACAGCAACGACGACGACGAGGACGCAAACGACGACGACGACGACGACAGCTGACGACGACGGCGACAGCCGAGACTGGGTCGCCCGAGAGTTCGCGCTGGCGCACGAGGCGCGGGCACCTTTGCTGGCGGCGCGCACGGGGGACGCAGCGGGGGGGAAGGAAGGGTTCTGGAAGGAGGCTGCTCCTCTGGCGACCACCCACCAGACCACCCCAAGAACCCAACCCGAAGACCCACACTTCGGGTGGGGGGGGGGCACGGGCTCCACGTGCCTCTTGCCCAAGTGCCCCGAGTTGGCGGCGCGCACAAGGGGGTGGAGGGAGGGGGGAAGGCTTCTTAGAAGGAGGCTGCTCCTTAGAAGGCGCCGGTCCCACATCTATAGATAAAGCCCGCGCCTTCTAAGAAGCAGGGGTCGCTTCTAAGAAGCCCTCCCCCCTCCCCCCACCCCCCTCCTGCGCGTGGCTGACCGATAGAGGAAAAGGAACTATGCACATACACCGATTCTGGCCAGGCCCATCCTGAGCCCAGGATCGGTGCATACGCCCTCCTACCTTGGCCAGGAAGGCATATGCACCGATCCTGGGTCAAGGATGGGCCTTGCCAGGATCGGTGCATGTGCATAGTTCTCTTCGCCCGAACCGACGCCCCTTGGGGCCTTCGGGCTTCCCCGGATGGGGCCGCGCAGCGCGCGCAGCGCGCGCAGCGCGGGCACCCTCAGGACTCCGCGGGCGGCCCGGAGTTGAGGACGCCCAGGGGCACACAGACAAACAGACACGAAGCCGAGGATCCCCCGTGTTTTTCCAGATGTTCTGGATGTTCGTCTTCCCCTCCACCTTCACCTCGCATAGTTTCCCAGATGCCCCCACTGGGAATCTACGCCTATGTGTGTGTGTGTGTGTCTGTACATGTGTTTGCTACCTCCTGAGCCCTCTCCTCTCCTCTCCTCCGGGAGCGTCCAAGAGTGGGGCGTTCAAGAGGGGGGGTCGCAAAGAATGGCCCGAGGCATGTGCGCGGCCGGGGGGGGCGCACGGGACGCATTGAAAAAAAAGAGAGGGGCCATGACATCTGAGGAGACGTCATGGCCCCGGCCAAGGTATCCAACCCCCGAGTCATGACCCCTCTCGTGGCCGCCCCGAGCCCTCACCCCCCTCGTGGTCGCCCCCGACTCTTGGGAGGGAGGGCGGGGGGGGGGGAGCAGCACATGTGGCCGGGCAGGCTGGCGCATACTGCAGGTTCGTGCCGTGTCGACCCTGGCGTTGGTTCCTGACACCGCGCTGGATCGTTCAACCTTGAACGATCGGCCGTCTCCGCAACGTCCGATCGTTCAACATCGACCGATTCTGGGCCGCCGTCGGCGTTCAACGTCGAACGTCGGCGGCGGGGTCGCCGCCGGTCGACACGACGCGAACCTACCGTAACTGGGTGCCTTCTGCGGAGACCTGGTTGGAACCCCTGGAGCTCCGGCAGCACGAAGCACACGCCCACGAGGCTCAGCAGGGGCGCGGCGAGGCACAGCCCGAACATCCACCGCCAGCTGGCGTCATCGGCCGGAAGCTACACCGGGCACCCCGACTCGTGCAGCTCCCATCGCACTTCAGGACCACATCCCAGAAAGAACTTCGAGCACCCAGACAAGTATCGAAACAGTGTCGAACGAGTATCGCTTCCCAGGGCCCGACGCGTGGAAGCCCTCCAGCTTCGGTACGTCTTTCCTGGTGCTCGAGAGGTTCTGTCTGGTGACCATGGCTGAGGTAGGCTGGAACAGCAGAAACCCTGACCCCAAGATTGGGCACGGGAGCTTGACGTCGCGCGCGACGTTTTCGGTGGCGGTTTCTCTCGTCCTCCTCCTCCTCCTCCTCCTCCTCCTCCTCCTCCTCCTCCTCCTCCTCCTCCTCCTCCTCCTCCCCTCCCCTCCTCCTCCTCCGCCTC